CCCTTCTTAAAGTAGACTAAAGTGTTTATGTTGATTCCAGGTGAAACACTAAACTATTGAGTGTGATTATAATTAATATTTGTTATCAAATTTTTTGCTAAATAGCTGAAACTACACCCAGTGCTTTTAATTTTACTTGTATTTTTTGTTGGTTGACAGTATAGTTTTACATACTGTATCTTTGAAAATAATTACTGGCAAAATCTGACATTCTTTTTTTCTTTTTCAAGGGAAAAATTTATATACAAATGAATATGTGGCAATTAAGCTGGTAAGTTCATGTTTCTTATTTTCATTAGTTATTGTTTTGCTACTGTCATAGTTATTAAGTTATATTTTAATTAACTTTTGGTTTAATGTCACTTATAGACAAGATGTTTATTTCAAAAGAAAAAAAAGCTGATCTTTTGTTGTTAAGCTCTTAATAGCACATCCTTAATGTATATGACAACCCAATTCCTTTACCTTGGCAGCATTACATGATGAATTTAAAAAATTTTGGAACAATTTTACATTTTGGAAAGCTAGCATAGTGGCATTTTTAATTAACTAAAAAGTAGAAAGCAAGATTTCTCTTTCTGATCCAAGTATTTGGACTAAACACAAGCATACTTTATGTTCTTTGAAAAAATCTTTTTTAGGTAGCTTCCAACATCTTATTTTTTGTTTGATACTTTATACAGAGAGAATAAAATATTGTCTTGATAAAGCTGGTTATTGCCTAACTTTGAGCAATTCAGAAATGCACGATGTGGTTGGGAGTAGCAGAGGAAACAGACTCCCATGGGACTATCCTAACGTCTTAAATGTACAGCTGTAAGTCAGTAAGTCAGAGAGGTCTCTCTTGGAAATTTGGATGGAAATTATTTCTTCAAGACAACTTTCATCTGGCACAGTTTATCTATCTGCTCTGCCAGCCAGTTTTCTTTGAGGTTAAACCGAGTTGGGTTTCCCCAAGCCTGCCGGCTTTTTTAAATGGCATTCTTTCCAATATAACCAGTTATCAAGATAGTGTGACGTCATCGATGTTATTAGGTGCCATTGAGTCAGTTTCTACTAAAAGCGACCCGAGGTACTGCAGAACGGGTCAGTGCCAGGTTCGGCGGCAACATCCAGTTGTTGGTCTGTTTGAGCCCATGCTGCAGTCCTGTGGCAGTCCGTCTCATCAAGGGCTGTCCTCCTTTTCTTTACCCGTCTACTGTACCACGCATGATGTCCTTTTCCAGAGACTGGTCTCTCCTGACAACATGTGCAAAGTACATGAGAGGAAGTCCTGCTGTCTGCCTCTAAGGAGCATTCTGACTACTTCTAAGACAGTCTTAGTATTCTTCACCCACACCGTAATTCAAAAGCAGCAATTCTTCTTTGGTCTGCTTTATTCAGTGTCCAATTTCACATGCATGTGAGGCTTTTGAAAATACCGTGGCTTGGGCCAACTACACCTTAGTCCTCAATGACGTCTTTGCTTTTCAACGCTTTAAAGAATGCAGCAGATTTACACACTGCACTGGGTCATTTGACCTCTTGACTGCTGCTTCTATGAGCATTGATTGTAGATCCAAGCAAGATGAAATGCTTGACAACTTCAGCCTTTTCTCTGTTTATCATGATGTTACCGATTGACCCAGTTGTGAGGATTGTGCTTTTCCTGACATTGAGTTGTATTCTATACTAAAGTCCTTCATCAGCATGTGCTTCAAGTCTTCCTCACTTTAAGCCAGGAAGATTGTGTCATCAGTATATCGCAGGTTGCTAATATGACCTCCTCCAATGGTGATGTCGCATTCTTCTTCATATAATCCAGCTTCTCAGGTTATTTGCTCAACATACAGATTGAATGAGTATGGTGAGAGGATACAAATCTGACGCACACTTTTCCTGATTTTGCACCAGTATTCTCTTGTTCTGTTCACATGATGTGAGATAATTAGTACTAGATATTACTTAAGTCAAACTATTGAAAGAAGAGGCAGATAGCAGGAAATAGAAAAAACTTTTGGGATTAGACAGAAAAACTGCACTGCTTGATATTTAATTCTTTCCTTTTTACAGACCAAGTTTTAATGTAACAAATGATACTTGTTTTCACTCAAATAAGACGCACAGTAGGATTTTGGTATCAAATGCTCAAATCAGAATCCATAGGGCATTTTCTTTCTATAAA